AAGTCGGATGACTCGGAACAAAGTAGGGGACACAAAATATTTCTCAATCATCTCAGCTAAGAACATACCTAGAAAAGAAAAAAAAAAGAGTGCATAAAATAACACTTTAATTTGTTCATTCATTAATTAAGGAAATATTTATTTCTTGCTGTCTTGAAAACAATCAGGATAGGAAGTCCCTGCTTTTTTATTTTTAGAAATGTAAGGTGGTGTCAGAATTCCTAGAATTATTATTGCAGAACATCATACAAGTTTTTTACTTTTTATTTAAAAGATTTACAATAGTACTGTGTTTTCCTCATATTGATATGGTATCTAAGAAGAGAAATAAGAAAAGAAAGAAGTTATTTTATGACAAGGTAGCTTAGTATCTGAGTTCCAGTTTGTTCTAAAAAGGCCAGAAAGAGAAGTTTCTCTTAGATATTAGTTCTTGATGATGAGCCTACTGCTTTCTTTTATGAAAGAATATATTGGTTTAGCTTATGCAGCTGAGGATCTGCACTTTATTCAGCAAATTTCAGCATTTAACATGTCTTATGCTATAAAGTATAGAGATCAATCAAATTGTATAGAAAACAGAAAAATTAATATTCTTGAAACAGCTGCTCTCTTTTCTGTCCACTAATTCTTTCTTGAAAGGGAATTGCTCTTACCTACTATGGAGAGAATCACAACCACGAAATCAAAAATATTCCAGCCTATAGTGAAGTAGTAATGGCGAAGTGAAATCAATTTGAGGACAAATTCTCCAGTGAAAAGGACAATGAACACAAGGTTAATCCGGGACAAAATTGTTTCCATTTCCTTACTCTGGTCATCTGTTTCTACCATCATTGTGACCATGTTAAGGCAAATAAGTATCATGATGCTGATGTCAAATACTTGTTTGGTGACAAAATCAAAGACCATGCCTTGGAATTTGTTCTGCAAAAACAAAGACAGAATACTCCTTATACTTTGAAAATATTTGCTTTCAGAAATGTCAAACGGGAAAACAAGTTCCTGCAAGATCTTGGGAGCACAGACCCAAGCAAGACCCATTCATAATTTATCTGTTAATTTACACCTAGTTCTTGTTGGATTTTGTCTAGGCCTTTTATAGTGGATGAAGAAATGTACCACCATTGACTGACGGAGTAGAAAGAGAAGCACTGAAATGATAATACCAATTTGTGATTGGTATTAATTGTGAAATGATAATAATAGTATATTAATTTCACAATTAATTGTGAAATTGATAATATTAGTATAAAAAAAGGTAACATGACTTGATAACAGATAAGTACCCACCAAATAGAAACTCATTTTCTCATTCTTATCCTTAGCTGGCTTTAGAATACCAACTCCTGGAGATCTCTCTCTTTGTTAGATTAGCTGTGGTTGGTGAGGTTGCTGGACAGCTGAAGTTGCTTGTCTCAAACATTCCATGACTGCAATGTCCTGGTTTTCCTTTATTACTTAGCTAATTATTTATGGCTATATGCTTCTCCTTAGAGAGTTCACCACCCAGTGAACAAAGTGCAACAAGTGTTTTCCTTTCCAAATTCTGTAGAATTTCAGGAAATAACAGAATGCTTTCTTATCGTAGGGGGAACATTCTAGTTTATCCTGTACTCTACAGGGCATTCTTTTATTCCGTGGGATTACCCTTCTTTTTCACATTAAGTGACCAGTGCCCCCTTCTGTCTGCAACAATAGGCAGTACATTCCCTCTTCCTACAAATTCTCCAGAAGATGCTAAGTTTATCCAATGTAAACAAGGACCAGTAAATGAGCCAATTAACCGTATTTTTCTAGGGCTCCATCAGGGAATTATGAAACTTATCACATTAACCTTATTAAATCCAACTTCCTAACCTTATTAAATCCGACATCATATATCAGAGTCTGTGTTTTTAAAATAAATATGAAAGATCTATTCACTCTATTAAAAAAAAGATAAATTATACCTTATAAGAAAAACAAAATAAATATTTTCCTGCCAGACATATAACTTCCTCTTGTGGGGTAAAATCATATACCCAAATGTATATTTAATATTAGTGCTTTAAAGTCAAATTGTTCTTACCACTGGCCTTGGTATAGGTTTCTGTGGTTTTTTGGATCCCAGTTTTTTCATTGCATTGTAATATTTCTTCTGTTCTTCTGTCATAAATATATCCTGACCTCCAAAGTAAAGAAATAATAGGAAAATAATTACCTAATGTGTATGGCATTTAACTACAATAGTCCTGTCTGCCACTTGATATTACATTTATAGTTGTTTTATCTAACAAAAGTGATTTTTTTTGTATTTATTTTTCACATTGAGAGCACATGCACATGCAAAAACCCTTCCTAGTGCCTTCTGAGGCTGACAATTGACTTTTTCCGGTGTCCTTATGTTCACTTTTGCAGACATGGCTAAAATGGTTCTTATTATAACAATGCTGTTAAAGAATTTGCTAATTAGGATTTTAGTGCACAGAAACCTGTCTGGTGCCTGACATGTCCTAAGTTTTACACTGACATTTAGGCTAAACAGGTCTAAAAGTGGGGAAAGTTTGAGGTTTAATGTGTGAAGGAAAAGACTATTTGAGTCTAAACTGAGGGCAAAAACCCCGTTGATGGGAACTTCAGAAAAGTAACCCAAGTCATGCCATAGCAAATTAATAATTTTAAAACTGCTAGAAATTGTCTAGTTCAAATTTGACTGTGTTAGCAAATGCTAATGCTGCCAGATGTGCAACTAACTGAATTCCAGTGTAAAGTAAATTGTGCTTATTAATGAATCTGAACTAAGTCAGATGGAAACAGTGTGAAAATCACTGTTGACTAAAGTTGATATTGAAGCTAAAAGCTCATCCTTATTGGTAAACGTAGCCCCAGATGTCCTTATGGCTCTTTTAGAATCATAGAATATGCTGAGTTGGAAGGGACACATATGGATCATTAAATTCAGCTCCTAAGAAATTGAAAAATATTTTCACACACAAAAAAATTCTATCATTCACAACTGAGTTTTACCATAGATTCTATTTTGTACTGCTGCTTTTTATTTAGTAATCAGATAAAACCAAATCAGATGAAGCTGCTTTTTCACAGCATGCAAAGATTTACAATTATCCTCATGTGATAGTTCTGTTCAGAAATTGAAGGCCAGGAAGAATGAAACTTCAAAATATTTTAAATGCAATTGTAATTTTATATTTTTAATATATATATTTGAATGTCAAATGTATGTGGAAAAATATCCTTCCTTCTATGCATATTCTTCATTATTTCAAGTGTTATAAATTAATTTATGTCTAAGAAGCTAATCTCATTTTTTAGAACTCAGGTGTTAGAATAACAGAATTCTTTCATACAAATTTTTTACTTGTATCTTTAAGCCTATTCATGAGATCTATTGGATTTTTAAGCCACCGTTGAATCAGTTTGCAGAACTAGTATCTATTATATCAACACATTGTCATATTGTAGCTTCCGTAGGTGTCAACAGTTTATAAGAGTTTATAAAACTAATTCTTCTATGGCAAATAGTGCTAATCTAATCAAAAGCATAACACAAATTCCCTTCTTAAATCTTCACTTCAGCTCTTACACAATTTGTAAATTACCATCAACAGACTAACGATTTGTCTTTCAAAATGCTGAAATACAAATGTATAATCACACCACAGAGATTATGTTAAAAAAGAATTTTTTATCCAAAGTAGCAAAATAACTTTTTTTCTTACAAAAATAAACTGTTAATTCATTGTAATTAATGATTTATAGCAATATAGAAACATTTAGAATACTTATCTTCTTTTTTTGTTGGTTGAAGTTGTCTATAATGACACCAATGAAAAGGTTCAATGTAAAGAATGATCCAAATATGATGAAGATGACAAAATAAAGATACATGTACAGGTTGTCCTCATACTTAGGTTGATCTTCTACCTACAAAATATTATAAATGTTATTAATCAAAAGAATAGTAAATGTAAAAAAAAAAAAAAAAAAAAGTGTATAAAGATTATAAATAGGTGTATGTTATTTCAGCACTCAATTATTAAAAAGACTCTATGTATCCTTTCCCATCAGTATTTGGAGAATTGGAAGCTCACAATGATTATTCCTGTGGAACTATAATGTAGATGCACATGGATATGTGTTTATGTATGCACGTACAAACAAAGGTCATGCTTTCTATAAACTTCCAGTGACTGTCTTTTTTGTGAATTTTATTAAATTGTGCCAAATTTCTAAGGAGGATTTTGCTACAGTCTCAGTTCTTCCAGGTTTCACATCTCTGACAATGCCTGCATTTCAGCTGCACCGCAAGCTGAGCATAGAGAAGCTGAAGTTAATTAAATAGGATATATATTCTGAGAGATGAATATCACTGTTTGATGACCGATTATCACTAGTGTGACTATAACCTAAGCTGTGTAGAACTATTTCAGGTATCTGTGTTGCACTTTCTTGTACTAGGTAAAAACAGTTGAAGTTTTCTAGCCAAAAATAAAATTTTAATTCCTATGATCTTCAACCTTAAAACCTAATTGCACTTAATAGCTGGATAACAAAAGTGGTCAGCCTAAATAAATAATGAAATGCATGTCTTTACGTTTTAATGAAAGATACATAAATTTAATCTATAAGAATTATGTGTAGTGTTACGTTATATAATCATGGTAGTTGAAGGCAGTTCTTAAAATGCCACTTTGCCTGTTTCTTTTCATTTACGTTACATTTTCAAAAAAAGATCAAGTTAAATGAATTTAATTCATATTATTTGACTAGGAAGAAGTGGAATTAATTTTTTCTACTACTATTTCTAAGATTCTTGAAGTTATAATAAAGTTCCTTTCAAGCCTTAAGATATCTGGAAAAAAATGTTAATAATTCTTTATGTTACTGTATGTGTAATTTTTAACTCTGTGCTGAATTAAATACATCAGAATATAACCAATAGATGATTTTTCAAAGTCTTACACTTACATCTCTTGAATCAACTGCAGCATACATAATGTCCATCCATCCCTTGAAAGTAGCCTAGAAGTAAAATACAGTTGTTTTATCTACTCTCTAAAATTCAGAATGTGAAAAATAACTAGGTTTCAGAATTTGCAGGTTTACTTTTAATGAATCACACAAAAAATTATAAACCATATTGAACAAACAGGAATATTAAAAGATTTTTCTGAGTATTACTGATTTTTTGATAAACTGTTTTTAGGTATTTCAAAAATATTAACTCTGGGCTATGAACATCTCAGCATGGGCACAGAATGTGTGCAGATGCAGGTTTTTTACATTCCAGATGACCGGTGTAGACTTAGACATCAATACTGTAGATATCTAGGCACACTCTACAATCACTTGTGCTGACAGCCATTTTAACAAGCTTACATCATGAACTGATGGAGTCTGCAACATAGCTTTTGGGCAGATATTAACATGCGTCTGAATGTTTTGCCCATGTCCACAATTCCATGATATTTTTAGAAATGTTTTAATCCCACATAAGTAAAAGGAATAGACTCTATAATTAATATTCTTGAGGTGTATGATTTACAGGAGAGCTGAGGAACTGTGAAAGAGCTGTGGTTAAATTTATAAAAACTTGGACTGATTTCAAGTAGAAACTTTATCTAGTAGTAAAAAAGATTTGTTCTAATTGCTTTAAGGAGGCTATTCTCATGGAGATTGAATGTCTGCTTGCTGAAGAACACAGAGATGGTAGCTGAAAGTGTGAGTGCCTGCCTGTCAGGCATAGTTTCCACGAGTATTCATAATAAAGGAGAAGAGATAAAAAGTCTGAAATGAGCAAGTAAAGAGCATATCTTCTGGGGAGCCATTCCAAGGAGCGCATTTGCATCTGTATCTGCTAAAACTGAGCTCTCATACTTCAGTACAACTGCCAGTTTCCACAGCAGAAGATTTTCACTCTGGGAATGTTCAGATCCTGATGAATCTTGCAATGTGGTACATATTTACTAGGAAGGTATGCTTGGAACCAAGCATCATAGATCTTTCTGTCTCCTTTTGGTGTACTTTCCATATTGTTAGAAAAGTATCAGAGTTTGATAACAGCTATAAGTACAGGAGAGGGGTGGGGGGAATGCTAAGTGGAAACATTCTGCTGAAGAAGTGACATGATTCATGATACATGCCCAAAGATCACTTAATCTCAGCAGAAAAGGGAAAAAAAAAAAAAAGAGAGAGAGAGAATATTTAAAAAGGAAAATAATGAAAAATCTGAACAAAAAGAAGTAAAGAAGAAGAATGAAAGCTCCACAGTAGTGATATACCAATTAAAGACTAATACTGACTGGATGGGTGATACAGAGAACGTTCAGATGCAGCTTCAAGAGACTTAGAAGTATATCTTACACTTTTTCAGAGGTTAGTATTGGTGATAACGGTTTACTTCAATCCCTAGTACAAGAGTGGCAATGACAAATGCAGTTATAGATTTTGTGTTATCATTCAGTACTACACCTCATAACTTAAGAGTCACATTGTCTTCAGAAACAAAATTCTTCAAGCAAGGTAGTTAAACTGGGAATCAAGGTCATCTAGGGATACTGACTGACTGAATAGGAGAGACAAGCACATCTTCCTCAGAAAACTTGGGATACCAGAGCAGTAAAAATCCCATGATATTTCTGACATCTCTTCATACACTAAAGCTGTATGTCAAATTGCAGACAAATGATTCACTACAACTCAATCATTTAAGCATAATTGCTTGCTTACTTGCTTGTTTGTGTTTGGGGTCAGATATCAGCTATCAGAATTAGGAGCTTCTGGCATAAATAATAGGAACACTCAGTACCTAGTACAAAAACAGCTCTGTACCAAAAAGCATAGGAAAAGGATTCGAAGGGGAAATATAATTTGCAGGCTTTGTATTAGTTATGATAATTTACAGAATAAATATGCCATACTATACAAAAACATCTACTAGTACATTATATGTAGCACAATATATATTTAGTTTATTATAATGGCTTCATTAAAAGCATTAACAGAATAAGTTTATGAATCATGAATATAATTTTTGTAATAAAAGTATTTTACATTTTCCTATTTAACCACAATTTAATGTCTTCATAGTTTTGTGTACTTCTTAATGAAATGTAGGTATTTCAGGAGCAAAGGCTGTTTGTCCATGAGTACCAAGAGAAAGTGTTATGAAATGATCTTAATAGTCAGGATCTGTTTGTCAGTAACTATCCAAACTCAGACCCTTGTACAAGCATTGTACTACCAGAAGAATTGTCTCCGTGCTACATGAAACGCTGGGTATCCCAATTTCAGATATTGTATTACTTATGATTCTTTTCCCTAACCCACTTCAACGTCTGAAAAATCAATCCCCTCTTAAACCTGCACTGGAGATCTTCTGGGTTATTATATTCTTACTGTTATACCTATTGACAAACTGGTTCCTTAGATGAGCATAGACATGAAGAAAAATGCACTCTATCTTGATCTGGCTGTTGACAGGAAAAATAATTTCCTAGTGCCAAAATGTGCTGAGATTAATGGATTTTAAATGTGAAAGATGTTGCTGTGGATTTGTAATGATATCCTGGAACAGATTATACAGGAGGCCGTGGCAGTAGTTGCTCACATCAGATCAGACACTCAGCTAGGATGTCTGCCTTTTAAACTGCTCTTTGCCTTCCTATCTTAGTAGATAACTAAGTTTGTAAAGGAGCTGAGAGACCTTTTTAATAATTAGAGGGACCTCTGAAACTTTTTTACTGAAACAAGAAATTAAATCCATTTCTGAAGTTTATATTGTGCAGCATTTGTGCAGATTCTTGTACATTTTTATCATCATGATGAGGCTGTATTGTCTAGTCTAAGAAGTTACTCTACTACTATTCATTCAAAAATTACAAGTGCAATAGAGGCTTTTTCAAGTTTCTGTTGTGTAAGCCATACATCATTGCTATAAAGAAATTATTTCACTGCTTAGTAGACTTATGTTGCCCATTTATCTGAGACTTCTTTAAAGAGAGCAAAAAGAAAAAAGTATGAATTTACTTACTACTTGAAGCAGAGCAAGATACCCAGCTCCTACATTATCAAAGTTTACTTTTACATTTTTCCAGCGGGCACTTTGATTGTTTTTTATGAGTTCTTCACACTGAGTGTAATTGTTGACATCACTGACATCAAACATCTCGCCTGTTGTGGTGTTGACACAGTGATAGAATTTTCCAGCAAACAGATTTACTCCCATGATGCTGAAGATGAGCCAGAATATAAGACAAACCAGCAATACATTCATGATAGATGGAATTGCTCCTACAAGGGCATTTACAACCACCTATTAGAGAAATTAGACAACAGAGTCAGTTTATGAACAGAAAAATTAAAATACTTTTAAAATGATAGAGCTGCTTTAATATGGAAATGTAACAATGTAAAAGTAAAGGGAGAAGCATTATTTAAGGTTCAATAAAAATCACCACTGAGATTACCAAAAGCAAAAAACAAAAATGATATGGAAACAAAGACAATGAAAAAAAAGTGAAAACAAAAGAAAACCTGTTAGTAGCAACATGGATTCTTAGAATTTGTGTGCTCTAGAGAAAAAGAAAGAAATGTTAAATTCCAGCAATACATCAGAATGTATAAATAAGAAATAAAACAGAATAAGATAAAGAATGATGACGTGAAAGACTGAATAAAAATGTCTGCATTTGAAACCATTACAAATTATTTTATTCACAGAACATGTACGTATAAATTGGAACCAATGTATTTTAGCATCTGCTTACAATGTAACATAATTAAGTAACTTTAATTTAATAACAGCATCTGTTATAAATCTTAGTTTTAAATTGCCTGTCTCACTGTAGTTGCTCTTCCACACATCCACATTTTTTTCAATTGGAGCACTTAATACAATTGTGCTAATAGATGTGAATAAGTGACAGTAAAAATCAGAGTAAATCCTTTGACAAAAATGTAATTTAATTATTTATTGTGACTGAACAAAAATGATATACAAGCAATTTATTTTTACTAAGCCATATTTATGTATAAGACTGCATTAGCTTTATGTATAGTGAATAACTATGTACGGTTTTCAAAATAATAGTATTTTTCAAATCTATAACTTGACTGAAAATGTCTAAGATCCCATTTATTAGATAGGAGTTTACATACTGTCTGTAATGCAAATTGTGCAAAACATAATGGTCATGTGTCACAAGACCCAGTCCACTATGCTGGCTGATGAGGCCACCTACGATATCATCAGCCTCTATCCAGACAGAAACAACACTATTTTGAGACTTAAGACTTGTGAATAAACTAAAACCATATTACAGTATTTTTAGGTGAAGACTAAGGAGAGATTTCTTAATAACTTTGCATTGTAAATTTTTTTACGTATCTATTTCACCAGGAAATAGCACAATCTGTGTTTACAGCAGACAGCTGGCAATAGTCTTTTTTGTCAGATTGAAGAATTTGAAAATAATAATTTCCTCAACAGGAAGGATTTAGCTGTGAGGAAGGGGGTAAGATGGCAACAGATGTATTTGTATGAAATAAAGGACACTTATTGGGAGAACGGTTTTTCAATTCCCTCCCCCCTTTTCTATTTCTCTGTTTCCAGCCCTATCCTTGTTTAGAGAACCTTCCTTTAATAATACAGCATGTGTTGTGGGATCTTTTTCCCAGACTGGTAGATGGAGAGCCACAGGGAGGTTTCAGCTGCCTTTTTCTCATTTTCGTCAGTTTCTTCACCTTTCTTTCTTTCTTTCTTTCTTTCTTTCTTTCTTTCTTTCTTTCTTTCTTTCTTTCTTTCTTTCTCTCTTTCTCTCTTTCTCTCTTTCTCTCTTTCTCTCTTTCTCTCTTTCTCTCTTTCTCTCTCTCTTTCTCTCTTTCTCTCTTTCTTTCTCTCTTTCTTTCTTTTCTTTCTTTTCTTTCTTTTTTTTTTTTCCCCTCACTAATCCTGTTTCATCTGACAAACTGAAAGAGAACAGAAATTAACTTCAGAAATTCTTGAGAAAAGTCCCTGACTAAACTGAAGAAAAAAAAAGCCATCTCTGTTCTTTTCCTCTTCCAAAGAGATCTACAAATAAATGGAAATTTTAACAGCCATGGGGCTGAGATAACACAACTCTGCATCAGTGAGGCAGGCAAATTTGAAGAGATTAAGATCCAATATCCAAAAGTTAACTGCATGCATATCTTGCACTTAAGGACACATTGAAAGCTATTTTCCTACACTTTTCCATGAATTCTCCCTCTGGTGTTCTTTGTAGGAGGCATGAGTCTCATAATTTTACATTAGCTTTTGTATTCACAGTTTAATGTGGGCTCATTCATTTTTTCTCACCCTCATTCCTTCAAATCGTGACAAGGCTCTTAAAGGTCTTAAAGCTCTTAATGTCCGAAGCGATTTAATGGCACCAAGTTCAGAATAGCCCAAAGCATTGGCTATTAAACTAACCAATGAGACCTATAAAAAGAAATAAATTAAAAGTCATTCTACAGTTTATATAAAGGGAATACAAATTGAATATACAGAAAGATCAATGGAAGAAAGCTCTAGCTTAGTAACATTTGAGGACGAATCCTATGATTTTCATATTCCTGGTATGTTATATGGAGTCATGCTTGGAAAAGGAATATGTGCTATGAAATATCTGTTATAGTTGAATAGTGAGATGAAAGCACAGTCCTGGTGAAAGATAAAGTCCTCAGAAGTACACGAAGATAAAAGAGCCATACTTTCATTAAATTTCATTAAGAATTAACCTTCCTAGAACTTTAAATTTCTGCATATATCAAGATACTTTATTAAATACTGACATTGTTTGTATCTAATAGTGAATTATTTCTAAATCAGAAGCATATAATAGAACCAATAGCCAGGGTTTTTATGAAATATATATTGACTGAGGTGTTACATTCTCCTTTGCTGGTCAACTCTCTCCAAAACTCTTCTAAGTATAGGAAACATGCAATCTGTCTGATAGATGCTAACAGATGCTAGCATTATAAAAGTAACTCTTTGATGATCTACAGCCATAGTGAGTTCCTGATTCATGTTTCAATGAATTTTCTATTACAAGTCAATCCATGCCAAGAAGGAGCAATTAATTTGTGCTTCTCAAATAGAACAGATTTTAAGCAGTATTAATATGAAAAAAAGTACATTCACTTACTTTTGGCAGTTTTAGAGACATGAGTGAGGAAATATTGTACTTTACTCATGTTTTATTTCAGTTTAACCACCAAAAGCACACAAAACGTATAAATGAACATAGGCATATTTCAGTCCTTAAAAAGATACCCCAAATGCTCATTCCTGTACTCCAACCTCAAGTTCTTCAAATAAATGGCTGTACAGAAATAGGTGGTATGCCAGTAAGTTTTGCCCACTATATGGAAAGGTGGTTTCCTATGCTACTTGCCTAATAAAAAACAATTAGATGAATTACAGACACTGGAGTTTGATCATGTCTCAGTAGAAATAGGAGAGCAGACAGAAAAGCAACTATTTCATTACGCTGTTGCTATGTACATTAATCGAATGGAAAATACTATTTTAGTTAGTAGTTTTCAACTGGATTATGTGTCATGACATGTTAGTCAATATGAATTCCTTTTTACTTGCTAAGGTAGCTAATTTATGTCATTTGATTCCAGGCCCTCTGTGGTCTATCATTCTCTTCACTTCCAACAGGGCTTGACCTATCTTTCCTATAGTTAATGTGTTTAACTATTGTACTTAACTAGGAATAAAAATAAACCACTAGATTTGGAAAAAAAAAAAAAAAGTTGTTTAGTTGATGATTTTTCTCATATAGATATTAAATTAATAGTTTCCCAGGAAGACATTTCTGACATTCTCTGAGGTAGGGCAATGGACGAAATACAGACTTTCTTATGCTTTTCTGTTATGATCCTATACTAAGATATCTTTCTTTTGTTTCATGCATATATCATATGGAATTCTCTTTGAACTCTAAAATTGGTCATTCCAGAAATTAATTAATTTCTGGGTTATCCAATATTATCATGTTAGGATATGCAGAAGACATACTAGACTGTGTAGGAAGATGAACTGAAATCTCTCTTTGTATTTAGTTTCCCAAAATGGGTATTCACACCTTTTTTCTTCTTCTTATGAGGCCTTCAAGGCAGCAGTTGTCTTTTACTCTGTGCTTACAGTATTTAGTATATTAGTATAATGTGACCCTGATCATTTTCATAAGGTTGCTGCTGAATTATTTATTTTCAAAAGCTAACAAAAAGATTTAGAGCACATTTTAATTAAATTACTTCATCTGTTATAACAAATAAGCATGCACTATTTTCAGTCATATTTCCAAGCAGAAGAAATATATAAATTATCAATATTATCAACTTTTAATGTACTCCACAGCAATCCCAGTTGGGGGATTTTTTTTTCTCCCTTCAATTATTCAAAAATTGCATTTTGAATTCTAGCACACGTGAGCAATTTCAGTGTTGATATACATGAAGATTACATTCATTCTACTTCCAAATAGATACATTGCTGCTCTAGTACATTACTGCAGTAGTTGGCAAATACATGATTTATTTAAAATGTAACTTATTTTCATTTTCCATACTTATTTCCACATCAAATAAAATTTATGAATACAATTTAGAAATAAAGCATCTATAACAAATAAAGTACATATAGCATAAAATATCCACCTACAATTACATATTTTAGGAGAAAATGACACAATTTTAATAACCAGCAAACACACTGGATATTCCCAATGCCCTATCTTCTTTCCAGATATCTTATCTCCTAGCATTGTATTTGACAAACAGAACTTACAGTCATTACAGCTGTGCATTAAATCTTGGACATAATAATCTCATGAAAGATGGCTTCTGAACAAAGATGTGAGTAAAAGAATCAAGGTACACGGTGACAGATGCTCTAGAGCATCTGGTTGAACTGGTTTAAGATATAACTGTCTGAAGCTTTAACTTTACACCTCTGCCAGTTAGAGTCCCCAGCCTAAGAGAATATGTCCCTGCTTCTCATTTAACTGCGTACAAAATTCAGTATCTTAGTTTAAATCACCAATGAGTGTATTTGAACTAATTCAACAGATTCTGATTTTGGGTCAGTAAGGCACCCGAACTTTCCCTTCTGCCCCTTGCTACAGATGTCACATCCAACAGAAGAGTGGGGTTGAGATATGGCATAACAAGGTCTTAAACAGAGGTAGCCAGATGCGCCCAGGGTCATCTGCCTTTGCTGTTAACTGACAGAGCTGAATCACACTTTCTTCGTGTAATTTTTAAAATCCATTTTGGTCACAATGACTGAAAGTAGCTGTGGCTATTTCTTGCACTGAGAGCTAGGTATGTAAGATGCTAAATGTCAAAACCCTGAGGAACTATCAGTGTTTACCCTTGAATAATTTTCAAGGATGGAGTTAAACAATTTAATTATGTTTAGTCACATGTAATGAAGAAGGGCTCACAACTGTTCTCGTTTGGAGAATGCTGCTGAATCACACCTGTTAAATCTCTCCAGTGAAGTACTGTAGATACTCTTCTACAAGTAGGTAACAAGTTCATATCTTTCTTTCAAATATTGTCTGGTCGTGCTAAAATAATTGCTGAATTAGCCTTTGGCACAGTAAGACATTTTTTGACACTTTCTGGAACACCGAATGTAGATATTCAAAAGTAGAAGGTTCTGATGTCATTTATGCTTTTGTTTATAAAATTAAAAATTAATGGAAAAAGTTGGCAAAATAAGCTGCTTTACTTGTGAAGATGATGTTTATAACTGAGAGCCTGCTCAGATAGCAGCATTTCTGAGGCTAAACTGTTATTAAGAAACCATGGAGTATAGCTTAGAATAATCAGTTTAGGTTTATGTTACAACAAGAATAATCAAAAGATGAGTTGTAGTTTATCTAAAATAAATTCCATTCTTAACATAATCCTGGAAAGAAGTACCTATCTACATCTTTAAGATCCTCTTAGGAAAACTATTTACACTGCTCAATACTAGTGTCTATTTTCAGGAAAGAGCTCAACAATATATCAAAATTAATGCAGGCAGGTAAAAAAACATCATCTGTTTTGAGTTATAGGCCAGTTTAGGTAGGGTTGTGGGTTTTTTTTGCCTCTGGTTGTAAAAAATCTGACATGTTTTCACTACATGTTCACAAATAATAACTATTTATAGCTCCAGATTTTATTCAAATTTCTCAAGAAATACAGTAGCTCGGGCAGAAACTACATTTGAGCGTAAACTATATACGTGTCCACAAATGGACATCTGCCCTAAGATGCCATCTCTAAGTTAAAATACTGAGGATATGTATAGCCAGTGAACTGGGTCAGATAATGTGTGAGGCAAGGGACCAAAATATTCTGGGAGTAAAACCAGCTTTGATCCCTTCTGACAACATAAGCAAGGCCTTTGCACAGAAGGATATCAGAGCTGGGAAATCAGCCAAGAAACCCTGTATCCTCTTCTATCGTAAACCCTGCCAAGTCACAGCTGATTTAACTTTTGCAGATTGTCAACCAATTAAAACTTTTTTTTTTTACTTTTTTTTTTTTTTTTTTTTTTTAGCAATTTACCACTGTTTTTTATTTTACTAGAAGTGATAACAGGATAGTTTTGGGGATGAAGTTCTGAGAACTGAGGTGAAATCTAGACCAAATGTATCATTTCAATTAGAAATCGAAATGTATCATTTCAATTATATCATTTCATATCATTATATCATATCAAATGTATCATTTCAATTAGAAACTTGTAGAAGAAACTTGCGCAAAGTAGTGTCTTATTTGATAAGTGTAAAGAAACTGCCATTAAAAATATAGCATGAAAGGTCCAAAATCAGTTTTTAGTTGTTTATTTTTTCAGAAAATCTTAAGTTTGATATATCCAATTAAGAATTAGCAAACTGATGACCAGTAATCCTTTGTCTTCTAGATATATAAACATACTTTAAACAACACACCTGTATGGGAATTGTTGATCATGGCCTGAACCTCTAATTGACCACCTGAGGCAAGCAATGATTCGGCCATGGGAGCACAGGTGAAGGCAATTCACCTGTACTACCAGAAGGGGTGGAGCCTGGTTCCACCTCTCCTAGACCCATTTAAGAGCTGACTACCCCGAGGAAGGATCTCTTTTTGGAGATCCTTGTGGAGTTTATTATGAGCCTACAATACTGGTGAGCATTTTCCATTTTTTATTTTTCTACCACAATAATCCTACTTAGCTTAAACTCTGTACATCTATTGATTTTACAGCATCCAAATACAATTGGAATTTTTTTTTGCACGCTAGTAAAAAGATTACTTATTAGTAACAAGCTTTACAACACAATGAATACTATTGTAGTGAGGTTTAGAGTATTGGAGACTTACATACTTACATCAACAATCAGAAAGTCCAACCAGCACCAGGCGTTAGTAAAATATATTTGAAAGCCATATGCTACCCATTTTAAAAGCATTTCCAAAATGAAAATGTATGTAAAAACTTTATCAGCATATTCCAGCATGGTCTTGATAGTTTTACGCTGCTCAATATATATATCTTCAAAAGCCTGTGTAAAAAAATAAATAAATAAATTCAGGTATTACTAATGTTTCACAGAGTGTGAATTATTAAAATAAGTAGATGAGACACAATCTTCCTCCTTGTTCTTCTGTATCCTCTCACTTTACCTATTTCTCACCTATAACCATGCTGCAAATTGGAGTGTTATTCAACCTTGTCTGGAATTTCTCCAGAACAGTGTCTTGAATGATGTATATATCTTATTTTACTGTTGAAAGAGGAGACAAACTTGAAGCATGATTTTTTTTCCCCCCTGTTGTATCAAAAAATGTTTGTGCATATATACTCACACACACACACACACACAAAAAAAAAAAAAACAAAGCCCTCTCTTAAACAAAAATCTAATCTGAGCAGTTTTATCCTCCATCAGTCAAATTCCTGTCTAAAAGTCAAAGAGTGATGTATTTGCTCCAGTTTATAGTATTCACAGTGCAGAAGATGTTCACCTTCATTAAAGCTGGGAAGGTGGGTATGTGAATCCTACTGGAAAACAGTGTTTTTTTGGTTTCATTTGCTATCACATTCTTCTCTATCTCCTGCCTTCAAAATAGCAACAAAATGAAGAAATGCTTTAGTTTGTCCATGGTTTTTGTAAGCACCATCCAAGGAATGGCAGAGCCCAGAATGAATTAAGGGCTTGAAATCATACCTTTAGCTGTATACTCCTTGTAACAGAGTTTCTTTGTATTCAAAAATTTTAACAAACATGCTGAAAATTGGTAGACAGTTTTAATCTAAAGTAACTGGTTTAAATAACATTGCTCTAGCTTTGCAGGGGTAAAAACAAAAGTATCACTGAAGAACTGCATGTAAAACAAAAAAAGTTTGAGCCAGTTTTAGTAAATCGTGAAATCATGGAATACAAGTAGTATACAGCTCCAGTCAAAGTAGGCCTTTCTGATGCAATTTGAATTTTGCTGTTACTTGTGAGAAGATATCTAGACATTTCAGCATCCACAATTTTTAATTTTTAACTTACTAGTGCTCCACTGCTGAGGAGAATCATGAAGACAATGAAAGTCTCAAACCAGTTGTGCTCAACTATGCTGTAGCAGGTTTTTCTAAGATTCCACCAGATTTTTCCTTTGCCATCTTCTATACTTACTTGGCAACATGGAAATTTCTGCACACAACCTGCATTAAATTCAGAAATGTTAGGATTTAAAAGCAAAATATTCTCATGCAAATAAGTACTGTGTTATCAAAATTGCTAGTAGTAGTAATAATTTTATAATATTTTTTAAAATTAAAATAAATATCGTAATCCTCTTCCATGTAAATTTAGATAATTTGTATTTTGGATTGAAATCAGACAATACTAGATGTAATAATGAGTAATCTATACCTTCGTAGTTTTGACCATTGATATTTAATCATTCTTTTTTGTTGATAGAGTCTCACAGAAATGAAGCTCCAAATTTTAAGGGCTCCTTTGTGTAATGAAAATGCATTTTAAGAATGGAAAAGTTAGTTAAGTTCCTTAGTTACGAGATATAGGCAAATATGAGATATGGTCAGGCAAAGTTACTCAAAGCCCAGGGAAATCTTTTTCTGGTGCCTGATTCCCAGCATTTTAGGCTTTGAGCATTTTCTTTTGAATGTAGGGGTCACAAAGTTCCAACAGATTTTAAAGACTCCAGAACTTAAATATGTCTAATAATAGTGCATTTTACACTAGTAGATCTTTAACACATCTCTTAAGTCAACAGTTATTCTACAACCTTCTGTAAAACAGGCTTCTGGTTCAAGAGCTTCTTCAGTTTCAATTTCTGCTTGCTCTCCCTCTCCAGGAGGGGCAATATCAACTGTGCTGCCTTCAGATGAACTGGATGCATTTAGTTTCTGCAAGTAAAGTTCCACAGAAGAATTTTTTCTCATTAGATACATATTCTGTAAAAATTATCCTGAAACAAAACTTGCCAGTCTCTGAGTTTCAAAAGCCACTATGTTTACACTGATAAATATGCATAAGTAAAACCACAGTAATGAGGTGTACGTTGTATATTTCTACTTCTCAGTTTACCTTCTCATAGGAAACAAATATGATTTAGCTACTGACCTGGTCCATGTATATGTCTTCAGAATTCGAGGCTTAGTGGAGTTACAACTGGAGATCTTACATATACCACACTCAAGCTATTTTCTTTATTTTTTTTTTTACTATACTAGTTTACATTACAGAAGTGCCTCAGACTTCCCAAGAAAATGAGCTAACAGAATAAACTAAATGTACTAAGCATATTAATCTCCACATTTTTCTATGCATCCACTGCAGATGGTGTTCTCACAAACCTAACCTGTATCTGGATGAAAGAGTTGTAAATTTAATACTACATTTCTGCATCTGTTTTTCCCCAGAAAACAGAAATTGCCATCTCTGAAATCTCTCTGAATTCTAATCTCCTGTGAATACTGAGAGACTTCCTGAGGTCCCTTCCATCCTGAATTTTTCTGTCATTCTACTATTTGTATGTAGTCAAATGCTATAGCTCTCACTATAGTAAAAGCACTCACAGATGCAAAAACTCCAACAAAGCAGCTCACGTTACATAAATCTTCTCACCAAGTAAAATTTGGATCAGGAAAAACTGTTTATCAGTCATGCAAGACTGCCCATAATTTTCTTCTTTTAGGAAAGCATTGTTAGAATGGACAAACCTACTACAGTTGCATACAATTAATGCAAAAACTGAGCACAGAACTTACAACTTGTTTTCATTTGTCAGTATTGTTTACGTATTAAATTTCTTCATCCAAAATACATTTTCTTTATTGTGAAATAAGGTTTGTAAACAGAAAGCAACATTAAAAACAAAAGCATAGCACTGAAATTACTCTCGTTTATACTGTGTAGCAATAATTCATAGGAATTTAGAGGAGCATCCTGAATGCATTTCTAACTTAAACACTGAAGTTGTTTATGAGGTGATGTAATAGAAAGGCATTTGACCACTGACATTTTTACAGTTTTCAGCAAAGCAGGTCTGACTGCAGTTCAAACTCTGCTAGAGTTTTCTGTAGCTTGTGAGAGAATTCTCAATACCAAGCACTTTTCTCATTTAGCTTTCAAGATAGTGACATTTTAAGAATACGTATTAAAAAAATTACTTGTTCAGTTTATTTGAATTATTTTATTTCAAATAACAGATGAAAACTTCTTAGAAAGTCAATACTATATATTCTCTCTTTCAGAGACACTGCTGCAACTTAAAACTAGTTATTGAGTCCTTCAGTTCAAACCGAGTCCCTTCAGAAAAAGGCAATGGGAGCTGAGAGATTTTTTGAAGTAAAGGCACACATTTCTTTATATAATTTGGTAAGTAATTCGTCTCTCATATTCAAATCACATGAGATTATTTATGTTTAAAAATAATTTATGCTGGGTGATATGTAATTTCAGGGCTGTTTCAAGAAGCCCTTTTATTCTCACATGCATCCATTGTCAATATGGAGTCAATCAGACCTCAGCTTACATAGCTGTAACTGAATTGTGACCAAAAATAAAGAACTTGTTGCATAATGGAAAGGTTTCTGACAAGCACACTGGTATTAGTTTGAAAACCACTCTTTCCCTTTCCAAATACTATGATCTGTCAGACCTAGAAAATCACGTTGACAAATGTGAAAAGATTTGGATAAATACCCTGAGATTTCAATATTTTCAGTGGTTAGTTTATGCTAAACATATAAGTGTCAATGTTTCCCCTTTCATGCTGCACTTGCTACTATGATTTAAAAAATGTATATTCATAAAAGATTTATTGCTGTATTGCCTATAACTGAATGACTTTTACTGCTAGTCATGCAGTAGTCATGCACTGAACCAAAATGTTCTGTGCTTTGCACAGTGGAAATATGTTAAACTTTGCTTTCTGTATTACGTTTACAGACCAAAATGCACTCGACTGTACACTATAAAAAAATCATTAACACAGCACCTAATTATCCACATATAAGGCTCTTTTTTTAAAAAAAAAAAAAGGAAACAAGATTTATAAGTCAATTCTCTTACATATCATGGTAATAAAAGAAACAAACATTAGGAAAATTGTCACAGAAATTATAGGCAGTTTCTTCATTAAATAAAACCTAAATATTGTGAGAACAATAATCTGCCACATTTAAGTTAAGAAAAGTAAAAGTCCTTTATGGCTTGATCCATCATCATTAAATCAATGACTGACTTAATAGTAGCAAGAGAAAAGTTCATGGTGAGCATAAATAATTAATCTATATGAGTGCCAATTAAACGTAGTCAACTCTTTAATGGCTTCATCCCATGCAATCTCTGTTTCAGATAGTCCTGTCAGCATAGCTGCTAAAAAACAAGTAAGTGACTGAATTGCAATTTATATACAGTAAAACAAAAAAACTATGATTTTCTTAATTATTCTTCAAATAAAGCATTCTCTTCATTATTTTTCAAATAATCTCAACAATTACTGAAAAAAAACATGAAGTTACTAAAACTGCTCTTCTTTGCTCCAAGTCCCTACATTAGGAAAGAACCATTAAATTTTAAATTAGATGACTTAAATATTCTACTTCTTTTTTTTTCTAGCAATAAAGCTAACGAAACTAAGGAAACTCAAGAGACATTCCTTTCACCTCATACATGTGCTTATCAGCCTCTAGAATATGCCTTGCCCTGGAAATATTTATGTCTTCAGTGATACAATACCACATTTTTCTTTACAAAGATACAAGGATACATTTGAAAGCAATTGCTTATGATGCAGCATTCTCAAGTCCTAGGTCAGCAAAACAACATGCTTTTCTAGTGCAGAAGCCTGAGCAATGCTGTGGAAATCACACACAGAAATAAAACCCCCCAAAAAGACTACATCAATGGGATTACATTTTTCAGAAAATAGTATCATAAATCTTATTGTTTAAAGATGTAATAAAAAAAATGCTTCATCACCAACCCAAACACTTGGCTAAACATACATATAATCAGCCTCCATATCATCCTTTCAGAGCAGTGCATCTATTTTCAACAGCTTAGATCATTAAAACAAGCTTTGACCAACAGCATGTTAATGTGCCCATTTACGAAAAAATGCATTCACTTAAGACCCAGTCTTGCTCTCATGTGATTTTGTTCTAGATTTCAATAAGAGCAAGAGCAGGCAACAAAAAATTTAAGCTTTACAAACTGCTTCATGATTCAAGTGACAGTAAAATAAAGGGATTCAGCCATTACAAATTGCCTTTAGTAATTTAGCCATGTTGTATTATCCTTTGAATCTTTAAAGCTGCACTGTAATTAAGTGACAAAGTATCAAATAGCGGAGTTTGATGATTCTAAAGAAATTCTAAACTGATTTTAAATCTCAAATCTTATAATATTTGACTTTTTTATTAGGGAAACAAGTTAAAAAAACCTTTTTCTGTAGAGCTTTATTTGAGGTTTGAGGCATATCTTGGTTTAAAAATTAATCATTTAAATTAGAGACTTTTCAGAACACACAGCAATTTAAATTTCTGTTGGTATCACTGAACAATTTATACTACAATATAATGTCAACAGATTACACTGCACAGTGGTACAAGTGGAGCAATATGGTTGTTCTTTTGAAGCTGCTGAGACTGCCTGAATGTAACAACTTTGAATCCGGCTGTAGGGCTGAAATCTCAATCTCAACAACATTTTGATTTCAAGTTTTACTGGGATAATCTGAACTTCATAGTTACATATGACTTCAGTTTCTGTGTAATATTTCCCATCCTATTCCCAAAGGCTCTGCCAATGAAGCTGTAATGGACATTATATTCACTCATAATGAAAAAAAAAACAACTAAGGTAAATTTATACACTTCTATAAAATTTATACATTTTATAAAAACAGTGCTGACTATTCTATGGTTATTCTCATTTACTCTGAGTAAAGTCTGCCAACTCAGTCACAGACTTGGTTATTGTGAAACACATTCAAAAATATCACTGTTTATGATGGAGTTTAACATTTAAGAAAAGATTTTTTGTTGAATGGCGCATTCTGAGGATTTTTTTTTGCTAAGTATAATTTCTGCAATTATGAAACTGTTTGTTCTTCTTGCAGTTTATAAAACTCAAGATATGCATTGCCCAAATGAATACAGAATGTAGTTTGTAGCATCTTGAGGATTTGCATTACAGTGCATTGCAGATTTAAAAATATATCAATGTAATTTTTATGCAAGCTACTGTAATTGTTTAAATTGTATTTATTAATTTCATTCATTAAGGAACTGAAGTGTGGCAAAAATCATTACATAAATGACCTAGCATGTTTCATTAAATATATACATTTATAAGGGCTGAATCAAAAAGGGTTGTTTTTATTTTTTAAAAACTGTGCATGCTCCCTTTTTTCTTTGGCCTCTTTGAAGTATAACATTCCAGTACTTTTATGATCCATACTTCATAACCTGCAGAACATGCAGTTATTGCTAAAGACTTTATTATAATATCCAGAAAAATCATTAGCAGAGTTAAAAAATGTATGTTGGGGTTGCCAGTCCCACCTGACCATGCTGTGATGTGAGTCCCATGACTCAGCAGAGAGCAGCTGTGCATGTTTCTACTATCTTGCAATGGATAGGGAAGGAACATAGCTGAATAGCATGCAGGCCAATCAAAATCCATTAAAAAGTGATTATATATATATATACATATATATGTATAACTTGCTTAGGTAACCTGTGTGAAAGTGGTGACACGTTGCTCTACCTGGTTAAAAAGCACCAGAGCTGCATTCTTGATTGCTCCAGCTTGGTTTTACCCCTGTGAGAAGTAAGAATGGTAGGTAGTGAAGTTCAAGACACAGGATCTCTAGTTTTCTTCTTTTTGGAATTTC